TTTTTTTTTTTTTTTTTTTTTTTAAGATTTATTTATTTATTTTATTTATGAGTACACTGTCGCTGTCTTCGGACACACCAGAAGAGGGCATCCAATCTCATTACGGATGGTTGTGAGCCACCATGTGGTTGCTGGGATTTGAACTCACGACCTCTGGAAGAGCAGTCAGTGCTCTTAACTGCTGAGCCATCTCTCCAGCCCTGACCTTTTTTTAAAAAAAAAAAAAAAAATTAATTAATTTAGTTTTGTGTGGGTGTGTGCAGCAAGCTGGTACCACGACGTGCTCTTGGAGATAAGAAGATTGTGGAACTGGGTGGGGCTGGGGTGCGGCTCGGCGGGACATCTTCGTCTCTGCCTTTTTGACTTCCTTACATTGGAGGAACAACTTGTGTTCCATCTTTGACTCAACAAACATATATGTTTGGAGCCATTCTCAGGGACTGTCACCTGCTCTCTCCAAGCCTGTGGTTTACCGGTTGTCACAGTTCAGGTGCCGTGGCCTGGTTTTGTTCCTAAAACAGATGAAAAACCTTCATTACACTTATGTGTTTGTGTAAGGGGGGGTACATGTGTGCCACCACATGCCACCATGTGCAAGTGTAGGTCAAAGGACAACCTGTGGGTGATGGTTCTCTCCTTCCACCTTGGAGACTAAACTCAGACCACCATGCTGGCCGGCAACCTCTTTTCCCTGCTGAGCTATCCTGCTGGTTCCCTAAAACTCCTTATCCTCCTGCCTCCACTACCTGTGTGCTGGGATTACACCGGACCTGGACTCTTGCTGGAGGGGCCTCAGGCTTGAGGGGAGGCTTAGAGAGGACCAGGTTCTGGTTATGAAACATGATGCCCACTGTTTCACGTGGGTGCTCTTTCAGACTCCTTCTGGCTATTATGGCATTAAACCGTGGCCACCCAGGGAGAGGGGTCACATCTGTGATGCAACCTACCAGATCTGAAGGGCCAGACAGGGAGGAAGTTTGGAATTGATTCAGTCTTGTTCAGCTGCGGACGCTGTGCCCAGAGCGTGTGTCTGGGGCTGTCGGGATGGTGATGGCAGCAGATGCAAGGCCTAGTGGATCCTCAGAGTCACACTCGGGACATGTCATCATTCTTCTATATAACCCCAGTTGAGGCAGGAAAGCTGACTGAGTGTCCCAGGCCAGAGTGTATCACACAAAGACCCCGCCTTAAAACAAAACCAAACCAGAAAGGAAACAGTATCGGGTATTGCTGGGGGAGGGGGTGTGGCTCAGTGGGTAAAGCACTTCGAAAAGGTGAGGAGGGTGGGAGTCAACTCCCTTGTAAACTCTAGGCCTGTGAGGCGCAGCTGTAATCCTAGAACTGGAGAGTCAGAGACAGGGATGTCCAGAGGGAACGTGCCTGGCTAAGGCAGCTGACTGGAAGCTCTGGGATCTGCAGGAGACTCTGCCTCATCACACAAGGGGAGGGGCAATTGAAGGAGACACAGATCATCAACCTCTGGCCCTCCACAGGCATCTGAACACACACACAGGCACACACGCATGCAGGCCACATA